CCTGAATCTACACCAACAATTTTTCTTGAGGAAAACACTTAGAGATACTGCTCTGGTTTTGATGGGGCTGGGATGAGGATGGAGACAGGACACTACAGAGGGGACAGAAGGCACTACAAATCTGGGAGACGTGCAAAGCTGCAAAAACCCAGGACACGCTGAGCTCCGCAAAGGTCCATGTTTCAGTCTGTATGTTGTTTTAGACAAATAAAACTATAGCATCAGCTTTTATGTAAATCTGGCATTCCTCCTGAAGTACAGATGCCCCTCTACCATACAATCTATGTAAAAGCATTACAGCTCCTTCTGCATCTCATGAAGTTTAGCATGCAATGCAGAGGCATCGACTACCTAAGGTACAGAAGTGAAGACGAGTACAGCTGAGCTGACAGAAAGAAACACAGTAAAGAAGGGACTGATTAATCATGCCTAGGAAGATCACACCATTTGTTTGTACTACAGGTGTTTGTACTGCATTTCTTTCTTTCAAGGACAACTCTGTGCAATGTATGACCTTGCTTTGCAGATAGATTAACAGAGAGAAATCATGTGGTTCTGTGTTTTTAGGTTTTGAAAGACCATGGACAAGACTTTCTTGTTGGCAACCAGTTAAGCAGGGCAGATGTGCAGCTACTTGAAATCATTTTAATGGCAGAAGAGTTCAAACCTGATATCCTTGCCAAATTTCCTCTCTTGCAGGTAAATGAATGGAGAGTTTTAATGGACAATGCATTGGAAAGGACCACTGATTTAAACTGGCTGAGAAACAGGGGAGAGTGGGAGGGTGAGAAGTGACTTAGAAAATAACCAAATATGCTAAGTACTTTTATAGCTGGCCTTAAATACTGATGGTTATTGCCAGCTTCTGTCTTTGCAGCCACAAAAGCATAATAGAGGGAACCATGTAGTTTCTTCTGCAGCATCAATGCATAATGTTACTTTTAGAGCATGGATAACATCAAAATGTCTGACAGTTACAATGCTTCTTAAGCACAGTGCTGTTTTGGTTTTGTTTTGTAGAGTTTTAAAGCAAGAATAAGCAATATCCCTCCAATAAAGAAATTCCTGCAGCCTGGCAGCCAGAGGAAAGCACGAGAACGACCAGAAAATGTACCGAAAGTGCTGGCAATTTTCGAGTAGCAGCCTAAAGCCACAGAAACTCTCATTTCATTGTGTTTGCTGATAGCGGCAAAGGGAAATGAATGAAAACAGTGAAAAGGTTTTTGATCTCTCTTTCCTTAGCTACAGCACTGGTTTGAGACTATTGTCAACACTTCCTAGGGAAATCTATACAAGCATACCGGAAAATAGAATAGTTCACTGATTGGGAGTATATTGGACAACAGAAGATATCTTAACTGACTAAAGAGAATACCTGAAATAAAGTCTTACTATTGACACTCAAACCCAGGTCGTTAATTGACTTCTTGATGCTACTTATATACCTAAGAGCTCTCTGGTTCTGGCATTCCTAAGAATTACTGGAAAATGATGAGAGTTTAGCCCAAACAGTAGGTGATGTACCTGTTCTGGGAAATGCCAGGAAAAGCATGCAGGTTCCAGTTAGATGGGGATGATAGATTGGGATTTGGATTTCCTTTGAGCTTAATTTCCTTTGAGGATGCTGGGACCAGAGGTCCTGCTGCACCTCTGTTTTGTGACTGGTTAGTTAAACTCTTCTACTGCAGCTTCACCAATATTTCCTTTAACTAAAGGTCCAGTGTAGCAGCTAAAAGCACTTTGCAGACTCGATTGAGAAACAAGTGCTTGTCACTAACTGTGAAGTTTAAAACTTGTTGTTTGAGGGAGAAGGAGTCAGGTTGGTGTCAGTGTTAGAGAGACCTTGGAATGTAGCATTTCATGTTGACTTCCATCACTTTGTATTCAAGGAAGTTTAGTATAAGTTGTACTTAAGTTGTTCATTATAATCACATAAATCAACTTCTGCTACTGAGAGGTTAACAAGACAGTTGAACACATAACTATGTGTCTTGGTCTCAGGAAAGCTGTCCCTGCCCATGGCAGGAGGGTCAAAACTAGATGTTCTTTAAAGTGTCTTCCAACCCAAACCATACTATGATTCCATGATATTGTTTAAACACCAAATAAACCCACGATGTCAGGGAAAGAGCAAGTGCCCTAGGAACAAGTAATGCTCTAGTGCTGGCAGTTTTAAGCTGGGCAAACTCAGGGTACTACAACTCCTGCTAACACCAACAGTTTCTTCACAAGCAATGTCATGCATCTGGAACCAGTCCTTCTCATCAAAAAGGGAAAAACCCCAGCGTTTTTCTGCAGCAGAGTATGTATGAAACAGAGTTGTTGCACGAGCGCTTTCCCTCCCTCCTCACTGAGGCTTTCAGACAGCACTTGCAGCTGCTGAGCATTGTCAGAAACTCAAGCCAGAAACTTGGGTTGTGGTTGCCAACTCTGGGCCCTGCAATCTACAGGCTGGGCAGTTCCAGGATCCTGAGCACAGACCTCCTTGGGCCACGCAGAGCCAGAGCCCCCAGCACACCAACCACCTGGCAACCTGCTCATGGGGCTGCAGCCCCAGCCTCTCCCCAGTCACGACATTCCTGCGACCCCACTGCCTCCTTGGGAGCCTCCAAGCCTGTCCCCTGCCTCC